ATTATCTCTATTCAAACTTTTCTTCTATAGCATCGATCTCGTCCCAACTTAATTTAGAAATTCTCAATGCAGAATAAAATTTTACCAGTTGTATCTTCTCATATCCAATATTACTGAAAAGGTAGTAAATCTTCCTTGCCCTTTCTAGTCTTTTCTCGATTGCATTCCTCAAGAGGTCGTTGGGGAGCTGTTCTGTGACCTCATCGATAAGTTTTTTCTTAGCCTTACGGTCTCTATTACTTTTTTTATAATACTCAAACCTATCCTCAAGTTTTTTCCCAAACACAAAATAGCTTCTAATAACTTCCTGATTTGTGGTCCCCACTTGTTCTTCGGCCTTAATAAGCGCATTGTACAGGTCAATAAAATTACCCGAGCTCGTGACTGTTTGCAAAGAGGTGGTACTCAAAGAGCTTGGTGATGATAACTCCTTGATAAGTTTTTTTAACATGGATGAATCTTCATTTTTTACCTTCACTTTCTTGCTAGATGATTTGCTGATAGATTCACTAATACGCTTTTTAGACGGACGAAGAGGGGGTCAGTAAATAATGACGGGGATATATCCATCAAATCGTTAATATTCTGACTTCCAGGCATGCTGTCAACTGTAGATTCTACCTCCTTCTTGCAATCGGGCTTTGGGCATATTGAATGTTTCTTGATAGAAGTTTCGATACAATCACGATGATATATATGGCCACAGATAAGTAAAGTAATCGGCTTTTTTATTTCATATAAAAAAAGTTCTTGGTTGCATAAAAAACATGGATCTAGTTCGGGTATATTAATATCGTTTGCAATTTTTTTTGGAGATGAATTTTTAAGAACATTTAATGCAAGTGTTTCGAGACATGAAATATTTTGAGGTATAGGGTTAGTAGCCATATTCAAATTTTTTATGATCGAAGGGTTAGTATACATATTAAGGGTTATAGACAGATAAGTATTTGCAATTAATCATACACTTAGCTCGTTTTTATAATAAATGCTTTCACAACTAAAAAATTTAATTTGCAGATTTTATAAACTAATTTCGGGTTTAGTGATCTGTTCATTCACAAATTATTTAGTATGGGCCAGGATCACTCAATCTTCGCTAGCAATTATGGATAAATAATTTAGCTTAAGGGTAGACCCAAAGGGTCATTGCTCTGCAATAAGTGCGGTTAGTGAGTTGGTTAGTACCGAAATACTTTTATGCTGATTTCCGATTTGTGGATTTAGGCTCGAAGAGCTATTTCTTTGAAATAAAACACATGACATCGCTCCACTGAAGCTCATTATTGCTTTGCAATGGGCTTTGCCCTATAACGCCATGTGATTTCAAAGTTATGATATGGTTATGCTCCAATAATTTATTATACATATGGATTAGATCTGTTAGCATCCTCACTTTGCGAATTAAGCTCGATAATTAACTTTGTCTTTTACTTTACACTTTCTAATAGGGCGTTTCTTTACTGCTCTAGTCTTATGCGTATATGTAACTTCTATTTCTGAACTAGATGTGGAAGAATTACTTGAATCGCTGTCTGAAGTGTCTAAATTAGAAGAAGCATTTGTGGAATATTTGACATTATTTTTCTTACTTTTATTTTTAGAAACATTGTCATTTAATTTTCTGGATAGTAGATATGTAAGAGGTATGTTGCAAAGCAATGACTTTTTGGGTCTATCTTTAATATTTGAGAGAATTTTGTTAATTATATTCATATCCTCCTTTTGAGCTAGACCAGGTTTAGATTCCATTGATTTAGATAAATTATTTTTAGTGAAGCTGGCTTTGTTAAAATCTTCATCGAATAATGAGATGCTCATACTATCTATTACAATTTTAGCATGGCAGACATGGGTTTTAGGAGAATGTCCAAAGCTTATTTTTGCTTCACGCATCCATAACCAATCTTGCTCCAACACCAGATCGAATGATGGATTTTTGTGAATTTGAAAGTCTATTAGTTCAGTATCACCTAAACTTTGCTACTTTCTTTTAATGCGAAACTGTAAATCTAAGCCTTTTATTTCTTCACCTATCAGATTATCACCAACTATACCTTCTAATCCGTGATCAGATTCAAGCTTATCGAATAAGTGTTTGCTAATAATATTATATTTAGATGTTGTATCAATTAACACTTTTACTGAGATTTTTCCTTCTACGAGTGTATTGATGAACATGTTAAATATATTTAATGATATATATTATAACCAAAAAATAATTATAATTTATTCTGAATTTTATTATGTATTAATATAATAAATAATAGCAAAGCTAGTATCAAGGTACATATTACGATACGATATTGACAATAAATAAAGCTATATTAGAAAATAATCATAAATCTCGAAATGGTAATAGTGTGATATCTCGCATTATTAAACAAGTATCAAATAAAAAAATTCAGATCTCTCTCCGTCAATTACTAAAAATAGTAAAACCTGAGATTCAGCAAGATATTATAAACTCAATAGCGAACCCGGATATTTCTCAGAGAAATCATACACTATCTGAGGCTAAAAGAAAAAAAACAATTTTTAATGATACCGCATCTGAGTCCTCGGCTCTAAATCCTTTTATGATAATGAAGATTTTACTGTAGATATAGTAAAAGTGAAGAAGTGCAATTAATCTTGATCATAGATATGAAATCGTCTTGCTTGCTTATAAGGAACTCCTCTTTTTCTATAATTGACTACAACGTAATTTTGCACAGGAGAAGTATAATTATCAGATGAATGACGTAGACATTCTCCAGCAATTGTATAAGCGTGGGCCATATTCTTAGCTTCATATGCTACTGCACCATAAACTGCTCCTAATTTACATAAATATTTAGGAATTAAATCATAATCTTTTAAGAATTTATTGAATCATTTAACTCCTGGCTTACTTGGATCACTCATTCGTCCAGATAATATAGCATGCTAAATCCAAGTGAGTAGTTCTTTGGCTCGTTCTTGATTCTTTTCCATCAATCTAAATTTTCTGGGAATATTTAGCTGACCTCGATTCTTCGCATATCCCGTCACTCCAGCATCTGTAATGCGTAAAGTTTTAAGTTCAGCAGGACGAATACAAAGCATCACCATAACATCAGCAAGAGCCTGCATTTAATCTTTCTTTGACTGATTCTAATGTAAATTCATCTAGATAATCGATACATTTAGCTTCAGCTTTTTTTCGATTAATACTCTGGATTTTGTTGGCATCTTCTGTAATATCTGGAAATTTTGTAACCTCAATTATCTCAAGTAATGCACTAAGGTTCCTTAATTCTCTATGAAGACGAGTGAAACGTGATGAGCCAGCGTTAGTATTTTTTGCTGATAGGGCTAAGGCATAAGCTTCAGCTCTTACATCTCTAATGCTAAGATTATCTCGTAAAATCTGTTGCGCCATATCCCCAATTGTTTCTTCCTCCATTCCTTTCAAGGATTTGTTAGAAATTGCAATATTTACGTCTCTATTGCAGGGCAATGGCTCTTCGAACGTACTTCCATTTTTTTGGGTAGAGAATAAATCATCCACTTGTCTCCCGCTAAATCCATATCTATTCTGTAAGATTCATTTAGTTATCTTTCTGATAATCTCTTCTTTCAAATCTTTAGGGGTGAAGCTATAGCTATTTTGCAACTACTCTCGATGATATTTATAATCTTGACCTTACTACTTTTCTGATTAGGTATTAATATACTTACCTGATCACTGCTAAATTTAAAACCATCTCGAAGACGTCATTGACCTTGATTCCGCTTTTTATCATCGGTAAGGTTTTCAAAAAATTCTGAGGTATATTTACTGAGATCGGACATACTCATCTTGGGGCTGAGATTGTATTTTTCAACGATTTTAGTTACGATAGCTGATATAATCTAATGTTATAGTAGGTCGAGTAGGTTATGAACAGTTCTTTAGGTTATATACACTATAAAAATATTTTTTCAAATCGAAATTAATTATCGGTGGATAGCTATACCCAAAAATTGAATAAGTCGTAGTTATTGTAATTCTATCTAAAAATAGACGCGAACAAGACACGAGTTCGATCAAAAGTTTTAATCTATATATGCCAGGTATATATACACGTCAATGCTTTGAGTCAAATCTGTCGATTTGAAAGTTACCAATATATAGAATATAATGAAAAAAATTTATAGCTTCGAGTTGTGGCGACTCAGGCTATATTAACATCATTTGGTACTATATTTATTTTTTATGTGTCAAAGACACTAGCTTTGCTATAATGCTTAGAATAGATTCCGGTATTTTTCTATACTTATGGACCATTTCTTGTAAATATCGGGTCTATTTTCCATTATATAAATCGGTGGTATCATAGCTGGATGGGACAGAGCATTCATGAATCTAATTTGCTCAGAATAGTAATAATCCATAATATCCGGTAATTGTAAAAATTTGGCTAGATCTTTTACGTACTTGAAACCATTGTGTATAGTCTGTGGAATGTTGGTCTGTTGTGATCAATCTCTCTTTTGGTTAATAAGTTGACTATTTTCTGGGGTGTTTCCATTGGGAGTTACTAGTTATAAAAATGATAATAGTTAATTGTTACTTATGAAAATGATAAGTTTAATTGGTTATTTTTCCTTTTTTCCTCTATGTCTCTCAGAAAAAAGATGTATATGTTAACAGCATTTATCTGGCTTTGAGGTTATAGACCGAGAAGGTGAGATATATATCTAGTAAATTGCTTCATATATACAGATATTAAATATGCAGGGTTTCTCTTATACGCTTCTGTTTATAATATTTATATGCTCTTTCCCTACCTTGACCACACGGGACACAAAGCTGAAGACTCGATTTAGTTCCTCGCCCACATTTTTTATATGGTCGGGGGATTATTAAACCCTTTCGAATCTTAAATGCATGGGTAGCACAATATTGTCCTTTTGCTGGGATCTTGCATAAATAGGTTTCCCCGATTAATAACTAATTACAAGGCATTTCGATTCGATATTACAAAATGGTTATATTATTCTATTAGTATTAGTGCTTTCATATTTAAAATTAAATTCGAAAATGAAAAATTTATCAATTATTGTTTTTAAGTATCACAAAAACTAGTATATATAACACAAAGTTTGCGTAATATTTTTTATCTAAAAATTTTATATCAGCTAGTTTGTAGGAGCAAAAAATTCCCCTATAGCGAAGCTCCTATCTGCAAAACTCACCTTATTTGTCCCTTAGCATAATAAAAGTGGTTATAATAACTTACCATAGATATCCATTTTCCCAGAGTATCTCTATATTTTTTGCCCAGTCTTCATCATTATAAATACATGTATATGCTTGGAGTTCGCCTTTATCTTCATATAGCCGAAGATCAATCTCCATACATATTAATTTTTTTTGTCTGGACAGTTTCATATAGTTCTCTGGATTATACATGCCGACGAAATTATTTCGGGTTCAAAAACCTGAAATTAAAATTTGAAGATGAAATTGTTTTTAACCTATTTTACTTAAAAGACGAAATTTTTTGACACTTTTTTTGAATAGATGAAATTATAAAGAGTATAAATATATAAATTTTATTTGCTCTTTCTTATAAAAAATTTTAATTTGCTCTAATGGAGATGAAATAGGCCTTTTTTGAAAATCAATTTTGGTGGCATCACTACTCTGGATCAACCCCATTGCTTCGTGCAAATTCAATTATTTCCGCATCTGCCATTATTTTATCATAATAAATTCTCGCCAAATCTCTATCTTTTTCAGTAATAGTAACGAACTTATCTGGATCCTCACCAAGTTCGATAGCTTTTTGTCTTAATCGTATTTCTTGTTGCTCCCTGGTTTGATATCCGGGTGGGCATGATATCTGCTAGGAAGATATTTCGTTAATGGTTTTTGGTTTATTGTTTACAGGTAAGTCGGGAGAGATTTCGGGATCATTTATCAATTTGATAATTTCTGGAAATTCAACTTTATCATTCACTGGTTTAATGATCTCAGAAACTGGTTCGGATTTATCGTTCACAAGTTCTACGTGTACGATTTCGGGTAGCGAAAATATATCAGTAGACTTGGATAACAAAGCAACTAAACTTTTATTTGTTATAGAATCGAAGAGATCCTGGGTCATGTTAGTAGTAGGAGGAGTGAATACTATTTCCTTACCTTTTTCGATATAATTGGTAGTCGATGACCCGGCTATATTTTTTGCTAGTTGAGGATTTATTGCAAAGCAATGACCTTTTGGGTCTACAATTTCGGGTACGTTAAATACAGGGATATCTGTAGATGTGTTGGAGGATATCTCGCCTTGAGGTGTATCAGAAAATTCTTCTATATCAATACCCTTTTCACATAGTTTGCTTACGATTTTAGATCGATCGAGAATGTACTGATATACTCTTACTCCACCATTGCATGAACGTGTACGATCAATACCTATTTGCGAGATTTTTTTTTCAAGAACATTACTAGTGAATGGTTTTTCTCCATTACTTTTACACCAAGTGAGATAATCTTGATATAAAGTAGCACAGCTTGGTTTATCAATCTGATTCTCAGACCATAGTGAAATATAATCAATTATGAATCAAATAGGGTTGGGAAGGTGACCTCGCATTGTTTCAACTTTCATTTTAGTATTAGGGATATCTTGTGGTATCCAATTTGAAAGATCTCGTTTAAGTAAGTAGCTTATAAAATTATTAGGTATATTAGGATGTTCCAGAATTTTTCCAAGTTGCTTAAAATATCTCATATTACCCTTGCATCTAGGAGACACATCTAAGCCTACTATACACCCATCACCTATTTCAACATGAAGTGGGGTATCATGATTACTAAGGACCATATATCTAGCGAAATCTTTGATTGTTTTGGGCTCAATTTCCTTATGCTCAATAGTTATATATGGCTCAGTAATAAGAGATTTTAGGTGGTCATTAGCCTTTTGTCATTCTCCTGATACCATTCCCGTTTCATTTAAAAGGATAAGCTTTCTAGCTTGGATACAGCTATTGAATCTTCCCAATATTTTCCTGAGATCTGAGGATGCAAAGAATAATTCCAGTTCTAAGACTTCCTTGCCGATAAAATCAGTTAAGATGTTTTTTTCTGAACGGGGTGGGGATCTTAGTACTAAAACAGTTCCAGACTTTTTTCTGGATATTGTACAAGATAAGCCAACTAGTTAATAACATACTCAAAGAGATTTTTATTCCCATTACACCAAACATTTTCTATATGCCAAATGATCGGATCAATAAGAGCAGAATTAATTTCAGTTGATGGTCAAACTTTGAATTCTAGAAAAAGATTAAAGAATTTAGTATTCAATGGAAAGGTGTTTGGAGAATATGGTAAAAAATCAATATTACTATAAAGAATCAGACCTTTTGTAACTGCCCGATTTATTGGTGTTTTTAAGTTTACTAATTCCCCCCATATTCAGTTATACTAATTTCGTAATTTGCAAGATTTAGTTTGGATGCCATATCAAAATAAAGACCATTATCTGAATCTTCCATTTTAAATAACTACAATCTTGAAGTTGTTTGAACACATGCAACTGTTGCTTGAATTGCTTCATACACCTCTTTGCATGTATATCTTTGTTCGGATATACACATATCTAGCAAGTTTCCCCATACAAAATTATCGTTCGGATCAGAAATTCTGGATTTTTCTAGTTTTGGGGGGATTGAAAATTTGTTTTCTCGATCCTTGGCTAATTCATTAATAGTAAGTTTTATCGAAGGTTTTCTTGTTCTAGGATCTCTCTTATCATTTGCATGATAACAATAGAAGCTATATGATTTCTTATTTCGAATAACATATGCATTGTCATTCTCATATATGTAATCATTTTGTTCTTTATCTTCCTGTTTACATAATGGACAATTCGAAGGTGTTATGCGTTTAAGATAAAAGGTATTAGGATAATTTTCTGTAAGGTATGATACCTCATATCCTGAAATATTAGCATGTTTCAGTAACTCCTTTACTAATTGGAGCTTAGTCTCACTGCTTTCTATACTATTATTACATATTCTGAGACAGATATGGAAGAATTTTCTATATTAATATTCAATCCTGGAATGGATATAGAAGAATTGTTTATATCTGACTTTAAACTATTTAAAATAGGACTATCTATAACTAGTGCCTTGTCATTAGGTAGGCGAAGCATAAAATCAAAGACAAAACTATCTTTTGGAAATATTGCTCTCTTTGGACGGATATGCTTATATGATTTTTACCACTTTCATTATATTTTATTTTGATTACCTTCGGGGTATTAAGCATTCGTAAAGAAAATGAGCTTTTGTTAGCGATGTTATCGACAATATCTTTTTTTTGTAAATCTATTAGAAGCTTTTTGCGAACAAGCTCAGTAAATACTGCAACTTTAGCAATATTTTTAAGTCGGAGACCGAAAGTTGATATATAGAGAGACATTTTTTTCTTATTACTACTACTAGCAATAGTCAATGTTTTGCAATCCCAATCTGGATATATTTCTAAACACACTTCTTTAAAGGCACGATAAAGTAGATCCGGTATTTCT